ATTCATCAGTTAGGGGATTCTTGCCCTTGTCTGGTCATTGCTCTGGTGGCTTCAAAGTAGAAATCCTTCCTGAACATTTATTTATTCCTGAGCTGATTTGAAAGAGGAGAGTAGGCTATTGTTTTGGGAGTGATAGTTAACAAAAGACAGATAAAGACTTCTCTTTCAGATTAGTCTAAAGATTTTAGACTAGAATAATTTTAAAATGCTTTCTTAATATTTATGAAAGTGGTGGGGTGGGAGGAGAGGGGAGAAAGGCATGCTCTGCCTACTTCCACATACGTAAAGGGAAGGCCAGTGCTGGGGCCTCACAAGGTAGAATGGGAGAGGAGGAGTTTGGCACCTCAAGATGCCTCCAGCATCCTGTAGTGGTGGTCCTTCTCTGGGAACTCATGGGAGAGGGGAGAGGCATGCATTGGGGTGGCCATCGACCCACATACTATGTAGCAAAAGAGACAGACTAGACGGTTGCTCTGACTTCAAACCTGGAGTTCTCGCCACTTCTCTACCCTCACTGGAAAATGCTTAGATAAATCTGTGTTTCTTTTGTGTTATTCTTGACTCTGATGCCAGCATGAAAGGGCTTGTTCTTGTCTCTGTCTCCTATGTCTCCATCTACCCCTCTTTGTGCGCCTCTCTCTTTCCCACTCCGTGTTTCATTCATTCACCAAGGAAGCATTTATGATGTGCCTGCCATGTTGGGTTCTGGGGAGATGAAGGCAAAACCCAAACTGCTGCTTTTGTTCTGGAGGAGTTGACATTCTTACACTTTTCGCTCTCCCTGTGAACTCCTTTCTGTTCATCATAGTGTTTTCCCAGGCCCTCATCTCTGCTCTGTCTTCCCTTTCTTCCATCCACAAGCTCCACAACATAGATAACAGATTCAACATTAACCTTTATTTTCCTCTCAGATGTCTTGTTCTATCCCTGCTCCTGCCTTGTAAAATCCCAGTCCTCAGTTATTCTCACCATCTGTCTCCTGTTCCTACTCACATGCAGCTGAATGGAGTTGAAAGAAGTCATAAAGCTGTGATGTCTATACATTTAGTTATCCACTGTTAAGTGGGCTCTCACTGCAGCAAGGCAAACCTTTTATTGCCCTCTAATCTATTCTCTATTACATCCCCCTCAGAGGCAGTCCCAAGCATTCTCCTCTTTTCTTTCCTCAAGTCTCCTCTATTACCAGTCATCTCAGTAAAGGACCAACCTACACTTTGTTGAGAAATTAGGGGCATTTGGGCATGAGTTTCCTTCTTGCCTTTCTACTAATCTCAAAACTCCTTGTCATCAGAAGCTCCTTGAGAGTGTGGATTGTTTATTTTTTACCTTGTATCCTAAGTACCTAGCACAGTGCCTGCCCCAAAGCTGGTATTTAGTAAATGTTTGTTGATTGACGGATTGATCATATGCACCCTCTCCTCCTTTACTCTGGTTTCTTATGAAGAAGTGGCCCTTTTTCTCACATGCCATCACTTCTCATCTCCTCTGGCTAAGTTCCTCTCATATCACTTCCTTACTTCTCTACTCTTCATTCGGTCCCTACCTGCTGGTTTCATTCCTGTTATACCTACAAGAAAACCCAATGCTCCTACTCCTGAAAAAAAAATCCCTCACTCCACCCTACCATTCCTTCAAGCTATTGTTTTAATTCTCTTCAGTGTTAGCATGAGGTGTGAAAGAACTTACCGAAGGTGAGGGAAATTCTAGAGAGGGTAGCTGGATCTACAGAGTCATTAGAGGAGAGCAAGGTATAACAGATGGTTAATAGATGAAAGGAGCATGAAAGAAAGAGGTCTAAGGATGAAGGGAAGATTTTTATGGTATGGGAATATCAGAGGACACAGAGGAAAGGATGGATAAGGTTTTCTTCAGACATGATTGGGATTGACTTGAAGAGGATGAAGATAAGAAAACACGAGGACTAAGCAGGGGATAGTTTTCTACTAAATGGCAGCTGACTAATTATTTCAAGGAATAGGGAGAAAAACAGGAACAACCATAGTGGTAGTAATGGGGAGCAGATGGTAAGAGGTGCTTCCAGTCCTCAAAGGTTGTTGCAGAGAGAGCTGGTCCAGGCCTGAGTCTGTTCCTTCACCCAGGAGGCTGGTGAAGGGGATGAGGCATTGGGACTGGAGTGATCTCTGTAGTCAGCAGAGATGGGCGGTCAGGGCTGAGTGTGGGTCTACATTCAGCCTGTTGATTTGGATACATTCCAATCTGTAGAATGGTTCCAATTTCTGTTTACTGTTTTGCTCAGATAAATGCATTTACTAGCTGTTAACTGTGATGTCATTTGTGTGACCAGCATTTGATGGGAAGGAATTAAGCTGGTTAGTGTAAGCTAAGGGCTACTCCATCCTCCAAGAGCAAACAAGGAAATGGCTTTCCTTCTGAATGCAGACTGTTGCCTCTAGACAAGAGATATTTAAGGGAAGGAGTAAATAGATATAATAGTAGCTCAATGTGTCTCCTCTCAGAGACTAAAGATAAGGACAACTTGGTGTTCTTGGTGGCACTTCAGGGCCCTGCCTGTCCATTCAGGTATGGTTATTGGCTTTTCCCATCTCCTAATAGGTGGGCCAGGCCTATCTATGCATACTTCCACCAAAACATGTTTGACAAGTTATATGGACATACATATCTTGTGTGAGAAATCATAATTCTTGGAGACTCTGGGTTCAGTCTCCCCACTCCCCATCTAAAGTGGGGTCCCTTATCCTCAATCCAAGGCATAGTTGCTGGGTTTCTATATACAGTTTCTTCCTCATTAAAAGGGTTACTTTTTGAGCTCAGACTATCTGGTTATTACTGGCACAGTCTCTGTTTTAATCTTTTTAACTAATTGCTCATTGTTACTTTGCTCTTGCTTCTCAGGGAGTCCAATCAACCAATTCATCAATCAATGAGCATTTAGTAATGCCTACTATGAGCCAGGTACTTCACTGAATTAGGCTCTGGGGATACAAATGCGATTTCTGCTCTCCAAATGTTGTTGAAGAAAGTTTTAGTGAGGACGATCCCAGAGACACTGTCTCTTCTGTCCCAGATTTCTCTACTAGAGACTCTCATGGCAGGGAAAAAAGGCTAGCCATAAAACTTACAGAAAATGATGGTCCACACCCCCTGTGAAGTTAGACATGGACACAGAAAAGTCGGTAGGTCACAAAAGCACCAGATGATTTGACCTATGACCAGGCTTTGCAGGAGAAGTGGTCACTCACTTGACTTGATGTTATTCTGGTCAATGAACAATAGCCAATGTTTCTTTGGTCTGCATTAGAACTATTTGGCCAGGAGATACCCTGTGAAATTGGTGGAGAGTTAGTTTGAGCATTTAAAAAAAATTTTAAGTTGCAGTTAAAATTTGACTTTAGTTAACAGAGGAATAGCAAAAATGATCTCATTCCACCGAGGGGAAAAACAAACCAACAAGCAAAACTAATTCAAGGAGATTGGAAGCTCTGTTTACCAACATTCTTGGTGGAGTATTCTGATGGTCTAGGAGGTGCTTCCTGCCAGTCTCTGTAACAGAACATGACTGCCATCCTACTGGGAAAGGAAGATATTCTTATTTGCTCATCCCTGGACCCCCCAGTTCACTAGAGACAGCCTTAGTGTGCTCAGTTGCAGGGTTGTTTGTCTTACTGGGTCTCTGGAGACACAGTGCAGGGGACAGAGACACACCCTCCAGGTGGACACCGATTTCAGAGGGACAGTCACTGTAGGTACAAAATGGCTTCAAGAAGTCTCAGGCTTCCTCCAAAAGAGGGGTAATGGTAAAAGAGGTACCTAGTGTACAATATGAACTGAATATAGGAAGGTAGTTTATTCCTACACAGAAAGAAATGCTAATCATGGGAGAATCACAGCACATAAGTGTAGAATTAATTGGAATAACAAGATTCAGTAGTAACATATAACTCCAGTTATAATCAGTAGGAAGGCTAATGCTTAAATCTCACTCATACATAAAACAGCTTGTTAATTAATTCTTTATCATTTCACCTGTCCAGTACTGCCCCATACCATCCAAATACACTGATGGTAAAAGTGCGCTGTCCAAATGGCCAAATTGGGTCAACCTCTATTCCAGGGGCCATTCTTTCTGATTCAGAAGCATCCTTTGTTTCCAGGTGGATCATCACCAGCATCTGGGACCTCCAGACCTTTTGGAACTTAGGAGATCTCCATTAGTCCTGGACCAGATCACTCTGGAGTTCCTGCCTAATGCATAAACCAACCAACCAGAAAAGGCAGGGGCAACCATGTGCTCATGGATACGTGGAGTCCAGGTGGAAGACACAGCATTCACTGCATCTCTCTCCCCCACTTGAGAAGCAGTGAGGTTAGTCATAAAGATTTACATCGGGGAAACAAGCCCTTAACACCTTTTTAAAAAAATCTTTTTTTTTTAATAATAAAATCTTGTGATTACTTGCCTATGTAACGTAAATAGAAGATTGGCCAGTTGGAAGGACGGTTCTCAGAAATGGGGTGGGGCTGAGCCAAGTAGTAATTCAGAGTGACGTTAGTTGCATACTCTTGGATCAGGACCAGCACCTGTTTCTACTAGGGGTCACAGAGATCCTAGGCTGTGGGAGAGGTAAGAGCTTAAACTCAGAGCTTATAAGTAGGCAGTGCAGTAGATAGAATGCCAGGATTGGAGTCAGGAAGACCTGAATTCAAATCTGACCTCAAATACTTCCCAGCTGGGTGACCCTGGGCAAGTCATTTAAGCTCTATTTGTTTCAGTTTCCTCACCCATAAAATAGGGATAATATAGCACCTACCTTCCAGGGTTGTTGTGAGGATCAAAATGAGATAATATGTGTAAAGTGCTTAGCACGGTGCCTGGCATAGAGTAAGTGCTATATCAATATTAGCTATTATTATTATTATTATTATTATCATTATCAATTCCTACTTAGCTTCCTCTGGTAAGCTGGTGGATGGCTGGTGGCTTGAGTGTAGACCCACCCAGTAGGCAAATTATCTTATACTTCCCTGCTGGTGAATTCATTGATAATGTGAGAGCCTGCTCTTTTTTTTTTTCTTTTTTTTTGGTAGGTTGCAGAAAGTAGAAGATGAGCTCACATAGGCTACCAATGCTACCTCTGAGACCCACCAAGGATAGACACACACAACCTGGCTGCTGCCACAACAGAAATGAAATTACTGGGTACCTGCTGTAATGGGAAAGGATCCTAACACCTGGGTTAATACTGGGACAGGGTCTGCCCTCAGAAAGCAGAGCCTGCATGGGGAGAGGCCTCTTCCTTTTGGTGTCCCCTGGGCGAGGGCTGAGCTTACCGCAGGGCGGCATAGAGGCTGGGCTCCACTGGTCCTGAGGGGGGAGGGGCCTCCAATCCAGCCTTGAGGCTGTTGGGATTCAGCTGGGCGTAGGTCACCTCCTGAGGGTCTTCCCTTTTGGGAGCCTGGCAGAAGGGGATGAAGGGATCGCTTGGGACATGGGACAGGAGGGCTGAGGAGGGGAAAGGAACCTGAACCCTCCCAGCTGCATGGGACCTTGGGGAAGCCTTTCCCTCCCTGTTCCCTCCAGAAGGAGAGATGTCTGAGTGAATCACAGCAGTGTCCTCCTGTCTGGACTCCTCTGTCTGTCCGTCATCATTCACAGCAGCATCTGGAGGCAAGAGGAGAAGGCATGAGGGGCCAGGACCCTGGCTCCACCAGGACCAGGCCCTTCCCTCTGGCACCCCAGGCCCCCTGCCCCTGCCCCTCTCACTCACATGGGGTCTCCTCCAGAGGGGTCCCAGCTGGGTCAGAGCTGGGGAACAAGAAGGCACAGAACATTGAGGGGAAAGGTCCAAGAATGTGAGTGGAATCACTGGGGAGGGCCTCGGGGGAATCAGGGTATATCTAGGGCCCCTACCTTCTCAGGGCCTTCTTGATTTCTGCCTTTCTGCCCCTGGTCTCTGCAAGAAGAGTCAGGGTCAGACTCCAGGGGGGTTCAGCCACTGTCCCATCAGGCCTTTGCCCAAGGCCACCCCCAGCCCCAAGAACTCACTGAGTCTAGCCTGATGTTGGCTGCAGCGTTGAAGGAGGAAGAAGAGAAGGGAGAGGAAGAGCAGGATGATGAGTGCCAACATGCCCATCAGGATGCTTGCTGTGAGCCTGGGGAGACCTTGGTGTGAAGACCAAGGCATAGTGGACAGTGTTAACACCATCCTGGTACTTGGGGGGGGTATCCTCCCCATTGTGAATGGGGGTGGGAGGATTTAGCCCCCAGTTGGAAGGAGGAGATATGAGTTCTGTTTAGATTCCCTCTCTCTGGACAGCCCCCAGGATAGGGGGAGAAGGCGGAGGAGGTGCTCAAGGGAAAATGATGGGTAATTAATGGGACTCCAGGATTTGGAGGGCAGGGAGGAGGGAGAAATCAACCCTCAATTAACATCCAGCTCAGGGCCTTCCTCTACTGACTGGTATGGGAATCTTAGTTACTCACCAAACAGCAGGTCTGAATGTTCTGGAGAGGAGGCTCCTGGGAATGAGGAAGGAAGTAGGGTTAGGGGAGCAAGGCAGCACAGAGACTGCCTCGGCTGGTAGTCAGGAGACCTGGGTTCCATTGACTGGATGACAAGTCTCGATCCCTTTTTGGACCTCACTTTCCCATCTGTGAAACACAAGGGGTGGAGGGACTGGATGCCATGATCTTTAAGGGCCTATTGGGCTGACATGGATGTGGTCTGATTCCTACAAGTCCTTATTCATTTATGCATTCCCTTTCCAATTTCTTCTTCTACAGCTCTCATTTCCTTTCCAATTATTTTCTTCTAGTACTCTGATTTAATTTGGAAAGATATTTTAAACTGTTTTTAAAAATTCTCGCTTCATTTCTTCCAGAAATTCTAGTTGTTCAAGATGTGTTTTTCTCTGTGGTTTTCCTTATAAGATGTTTTGGAGTCATTCTGTTTTTCCAGGTTTCTCTTTTGAGTGTCCCCATCAGCATAATACCTTTTTATGGTGGGATCCTTTCTGTTTGTTTGTCCATTCTTCCAGCCCATTTCTTGACCTCAGATTTAATGTTAGAGCTAGGCTCTGCAGACTTCTGGAGAGAAGATCTGGGCTGGTCCTAATGCTGCTTTCTTGCAATATTGAATGTTGAGTGATTTCAAGACCTTGGACACAGCTAAATGCTGAGAGGCTACCAGCTTTTTAATACTCCCCAAGTGGTCTGTTCTAAGGTCAAGTCTGATCACTGTCCTCCTGGTTTGACTTCTGCAGGTTCTTGAGCTGGATTGAGGTCCAAGCAAAAGGCCTGAGAGCTTGCCCCATTTGGAGTTTCAGTAGATGCTGCTGGATTTCAGCCGTGTCAGCTGGGAGGTTCTACTGTCTTAGGGCCACAGAGCTGTCGGCTTCTCCTTGGCCTTGGATTCCTGTGCTGGTTATTCCACTGCAGGCTTCAGCCTGGGCTGGACGCTGGTAGCTGGTGGCTCTACTCCTGCGGTCTGAGCCACACTGCTGTTGTTGCTTCTGGCTTCTGACCTTGCTTCTCATTCAGGACATAGCCTAGGACCCTGTGTTTCATCACCCTGGAATGCCACCCCGGAGGTGGGTGACCTCTTTGGGGTGCCTTGGGTCCAGGATCCAGAGCTGCTGGTTGCCCCTGTTCCTGCACCTTACATGAGTTTAAGCCCCTCTGAGCTGGATCTTGGATTTCCTCTTAATCTTGTACTTAGTTGCTTCCTATGTTGGAATATTTTGTGCATTCCACTCCTGTCTTGCCCTGCCTGACCTGTCCCCACTGTCCACAGACCTCTCCATCCATTTTCCTATGCTAATCTGGGCCAAAAATATTACTCTCTGTACTTCTTCCAATTGGTCTGCCATTTTGATTCCATCTTCTCCTGAGTTCTAAGCCGATATCACTACCTGCTATTGGGCATTTTGAACTAAATATCTGACAAGCACCTCATGATCAATATATCTGAGACAGAATCATCTGCTTTATCCCCCAATCCTCCCTTCTTCTAAATTTTCTTATTCCTATGGAGGAGACCACCATCTTCCCCACTGGCCTGGGTCACAACCTCATCTCTTCCCTCTTCCTCACTTTCTGCTTCCAAAGAACTGCCAAGCTTTGTTCTTTTTATCTCATCCCCTCCTTCCCACTCACATAGCCAGGCTCTCGTCACCTCTCGACTGGATTAGCACCCTTGGCTTGTTCTCCCTACCTCACATCTCTCTTTTCTCCACTCCATCCTCCTTACCTGCTAAAGTGATTTTCCCCAAAGTATAGATCCTCTTTTGCTCATTAAACCCCTGTGGCTCCCTATTTTCTTTGGGATCAGATTTAAGCTCCTCTCTTTGGTGCTTAAAGTTCTTTACAGTCAGTCTCTCAACCCTCTCCATAATCTGGTCAAATTGAGCTTATTGCTGTTTCTCATATAGGACCCTTCCTTTCCTGCCCACACACTTTGGCAAAGGCTGCCTTGATGTCTGGAATGTCCTCCTTCTCCACCTCTATCTTTTAGAGTCTCTAGTTTCCCAAAAGTGGCCCAAGGGTCAACTTCTTAATGAGGACTAACACCCTCTTCTCCCAGCTAATAGTCATCCCCCTTTCTAATTCCCTTGTCTTTTATTCCATATATATTTTACATATTTGAGAGGCAGTATGGAATGGTGGGAGAGGGCTGGTCTCAGAGTCAGGTAGATCTGGGTTCAAGCCCTGACTCCAACTCTACCTGGCTGTGTGATCCTGGGTAAGTTACTTAATACATTTAGTGCTTCTGGCAACTCTCTATGGACTAAAAGTTGTAGAGAAGGTGGCAACCTGCACTGGTAAAGGGTATTTTCCCATCTGGGAGCTCTTTGTGCCAATGGAATCATAGGTTTAATGCTGCCCTTTTCAATGCTGCTCCTCCTTCCTCCTGGGTCTCACCCAAACACCTTCTCCCTAACTCTTAGGGGACTGACTCTCCTTCTCTCTCCCCCTGTCTCTTTCCTGGGGTCCTTCCTTCTGTCTCTTTGGGCTCCCTTGGGACAGGATTCTGTCTCTGGGACAGGGAAGGGCACTGAAAATGGCTGAAGCCTTCCCCCCTCCCCCCATTCCCAGACACCCAGTTTGGGCTGCAGGGTTACTCACGGCTTGTGGGGTCTGGTTCCCTGGGAACTGGGAGGCTGCACTCTTCAGGAGTGTCTGGGAATGGGATGAGAAGGCAGGTAGCCTAACTTGTCCTGTCACCCCCCTCCCCATCCAGGCTGTCCCTACCGAGTCTTCCTGTAAGCTCCCCCTTTCCTGGTCCCACTAGACACCCTGTCTTCTCCTGGGGGAGCAAGAGGGAAAGCAGGGCAGGGGAGGCACCTTCCACCCACCCTGAGGCTGTTAGATGCTGTCTTCTCTCCCTACCCTCTTCCCTGTCTCTTTCCAGGATGCCCCTAGGAGTCCCAGGGTGCAATATTCTAGCTTCCCAGGGCCCAATACCCTAGCTTCCCAGGTCCAAGCACAGAGCTGCCAGTCTGTGGCAGAGGACAGTTAGGGGCCATTGAGAAAGGGGCTAGGCTGGGGATCTCTCACCTGTGACCCTGAGGACCAGGGGGTTGCTGGGGGCTGACCACACATAAGGGAAGTCATTGTGAAAAGTGTGACATCGGTAAGTGCCCCCATGGGCAGCTGTCACAGCCGGGATGGAGAAGCTGGCCAGAGTCTTCCACTCATAATGAGGGCTCACATTGTCTGCTTGGTCTTTAGACATCACGAAGCCATCCAGGCGGTATAAAGATTGACAGTGGAAGGTCACGGTCTGCCCTGGGGCCACCACAGAGCTGGGCATGGCGGACAGGTTGGGTTTGTCATATTGGCCTAGGGGACAAGGAGATCCTGGTGTTACAGGGGAGCACCCCTGCTCTGTGCCCAGGTCAGAGCTCAAAGGGAGAGTTGTGCCATGTGAGGGTCCATCCCTCTCCCTCCAGAAGTCCCTCCCCCAAAGCTGAGACCCCTAATGGCTACCCATGCTAGGTTCTGAGTTGAGAATCCCATCTCTACTGTGGCCCTAGATAAGGAAGGGTGTGTGTGTGTGTGTGTGTGTGTGTATGTGTGTGTGTGGTGTGTGTGTGTGTGTGTGTGTGTGTGTGTGGTGGGTGTGTGTGTGGGTGTGTGTGGGTGTGTGTGTCTGGAGACCTGGGGAGGGAATAATTTAGTGGAGATTGAGCCCTGGTTGAAGGGTGGGGGTTGGGGCTGGGGTCTCTGCCTCACCTGTCACAATCAGCATCAGAGGGTCACTGGACTCTGTCCTGCCAGATGAGGTCCAGTAGTGACAGCGGTAAAGACCAGCAGCTTCTACTCTCATTTCCCCCAGAACGAATGAAGCTTCTTTATTCCCATTAGGGTAGGACAACATAAACCAAAAGGTTCCCACTTTCTCCAGCTTGTAACCTATAGCCCCAGAAGGGCCCTGACACCAGATGGTCACAAGTTGCCCCTCAGGCATCACATGGTCTGGCTTTGCCCAGAGGGAGGGTTTGGGGAGTAGATCTGGAAGGAAGTTAGAGCCTGGAGTTCCAGAGGGTTCCAATGCCTCTTGCCCCCAGGCCCCTCCCAGAGTCACCCCAGTAGATTAGCCCAGACCCTCCAGTCTGTCCTCCCTTGGGGGGACAGGTGAGGGAAGAGAGAGACAGAGAGACAGAGAGAGACAGAGAGCTAGAGACATAGAGACACAGACACAGACAGAGAGAGAGAATGAGAGGGGGTTGGTTGGGGGGAGGGGAGAACTCACGGTCCTGTGCCTTGATCCTCCAACTGAGACACAGTCCTGTCAGAGAGGGTCCCATCAGCCCTGCCCAGAATCCTCAGCCTCCCTACCAAAGCTCTGGGTGGGGGATAGGAAGTGGGGGCGGAGTGCTGCTGGACATAAGGGAACCTGGGTTGGAGTTCTAGCCTTGGGTGAACTCAGGGGAGTCATTTCTTCACTCTGGGCTTCTTTCCTTCATTGTAAAATGAGGGAGAGAGGAGAAGGACGTGATGGTTGCCCCGGCTGCTCCTGGCCTTGACAGCCCTGTATCAGGAACCTGAAATTCTCCCTGCCCAGGACTCACCGAGGCACAACAAGGCAGGGAGCCAGGGAGGCATGGCGGCCCCGGGGCTGGACTGCAGGCTGGAGACCCGGCTTGGGGATGGAACAAGCCCAGCCACGAGTTTCCTATCACTGACCCTTCCTGGCTCCTCCCTCTCTCATTGGACGAGTAGCTACTTCCTCTTTACAATTTACAAGTCGGTGGAGGGAGGGACTGCCTGTCCTAGAGGACTGTGTGGGTCCCATTAGAACCCAAGCATTTAGGAGCATCAGGAAAACCCAGTGGAGATGAGGGTCTGCCCCATGTCACTGTGTGTCCTTGGACTGGTCCATGTCCCCCTCTCTGCCCCAATTTCCCCTCTGTGCAGTAGGTAGGCATTGACTTCATAGAGCTCTAAGAACCCTCTTTGTTCTTGGTTACTCAGATTCTTAAACTGGCCACCAAACCAGAGGCCACCAGCCTCGAGGTGATCTGCAACACGGTCAGCTCGGGACTCACTGCATGGATGGAGCTCTTTGTCTCTATGCCTGGTCCCGCTTTTGCTCTGTCCTTCATTATGCCTCATCGAGTCCCTGCCTTCCCCTCTGTCCTAAAAGTCTGTTGGACACCTTGGGTTGGATGTCCTGGATCTCGAGCTCGACGTGTCCCAAACTGAACCCGTCTTTCCTCTAGAAGCCTGCTCCACTTCTAAACTTTACTCTTTCTGTTGAGGGCACCATAGTCATCCTAGGCCCCCAGACTCCCAGCCTAGGAGTCATCCTCCACTCCACTAGCTCTCAGGCTCCATTGTCTCTTGACAAGTCTCATGTCTACCTTTACAGCATCTCTCTAAAAGCCCCTCGTCTCTTCTGACCCTGCCCTCAGGCTGGTGCAGACCGTCATCTCCTCACACCCAGAGCACTGCAATAGCTGATTCTCTCTGAGTCTCCCTGTCTCAAGTCTCTCCCCACTCCAGTCCATCCTCCACTCAGCTTTCAATGTGATTTTCCTAAAGCCCAGATCTGACCTCGTCATCATCCCTGCTACTCAATAACTCCATTGGCTTCCTATCACCTCGGAGATCAAATATAAAACCCTGTCTGCTGTTCAAACACGTCCTGTCTTCTTGATCTTTATGCCCTTCCCACCGCCTATACTCAGCAATCCAGACCCAGTAGTGTCCTTTCTGTTCCTCCAACAAGACACTCCTGCTTCTTAGGCTTTTTCTTTGACTTCCTCATCTCTTCCTTTCGGCTTCTCTGGCTTCCCCCAAGTCCCAGCTAGAACCCCTCCTTCTATGAGAAGCCTTTACCAATCTCTCTTGATGCTAGTGCCCTCTTCTCCCAATTAGTTCCAACTCCTCCTAAATAAAATATTGATAATTAATTAGTATCAATAACGAATTTTTTTGTATTTGCTTGTTTTACCTAGTTATTTGCAAGTTGTTTTCTCCATTAGACTATGTGCTCCTTGAAGGCAGGGACTGTCTTTTACCTTCCTAAGTTTTTAGCATAGTGCCTGGTATATAGTAGGCACTTAATAAATGCTTAATGACTGTCTCTTGTTTCTCTGTGTTTCTTTTTGTGTTTTTAAAAAAACCTCTGCACTCCTCTATCTTTTTCTTAAAAATGACATCAGAATCTGGATCATTAAATATATATTAAGCACCTGCTATGTGTAAAGTACTGTATTAAGCACTGGGGATATAAAAAAAAGGCAAAAGAAAGTCCTTATCCTTAAGGAGCTCACAATTGCGGGAGAGAAACCAGTAACGGTAAGCTATCCTTGGTGGGAAATAATGAGGTGAATGCCCTGATGGAGGTGGGAGGAGTTCTCTGATGTACCCCACTTCCCCCTTCTACAGTTGGGGGAGGGTTCCCAGGGGCAGGAGAAGCTGAGGAGATGTGAGTCAGAGTTGATTTCTTCTTAGAATGATCCATTCCTAGAAATCTTCAAATCCAGGAGGTCAGGCAGGTGGGAAAAATTGACCTGGTAGGAGTGATTGTATATTTGTGAGTGTGTGTTTTATGTGTATAAATGTGCAGAGGTGGGAGGGAAGGGGGAGAAATGAATGAAGGAGTCTCTTGTCCAAGTACATGAAACTTCATTTGAGACTTTCAAAGCACTTTCCCCCTCACCCCCAACTTTGCTGGTTTAACTCCTGCCCACCAGTTGAGGATTAAAAATATCTGGGTTAAGTATCAGTGCCTGGGGGGGTGGGGCTGCCAAGGAGGAAGCCTGGAAGGCAGGAAGACCTTCCAGCTGATCGTTTTTCTTCCTTTTTCCCTCTCCTCTTATTTTTAAGTTTCACTTTTTGTTGTTTTTTTTTTTAAACTTGACAAACACCAACCAATATTATTGTCCATCCTCCCAGTCACTCAAGGTTCCAGCTTTGACTCTTCATCTTCCTTTAGATCCACATAAACAATGAGTCGGAAAATCTTATCGTCTCTCTGATGATTGACAGCATCTTCTCATCCAGTCTTTTTCTCCGTGCACACGGCTCCCTCTCTGGTATAGGCCCTCATCCCCTCACCCCTGGACTATTGCAGTTGCTGCTGGAGGGAGGAGTCTGACTGCCTCCAGTCTCTCCTCGCTCCAGTCCATCCTCCATTCAACCACTAAAGGGATTTTCCCAAAGCACAGGTCTGACCATATGGTTATATGGTCATATGACCATATTACTTCCCTCTTCAATAAACTCTGGTGACTGCCTGTGATCTTTGGGATCAAACTGAACTTTCTGTTTGACACTTGAATCCCTTCACAACCTGACCTAACCTGCCCTTCCAGCCTCCTTAAGACATTACTCCCCTTTTTGTACTCAGCAGAAGATTGGTTAAAGGACCCAGGATGTTTAGTATGGGAGAGAACAGACTCAAAAAGAACATGAGAGCTGTCTTCAAGGATTCAAAGGGCTATGTCCCTCAAGAGTGTTACACATGTCACTAGGATGTGGATGTAGCATACGGTGCCCTAAGGGTTAAAAAGAATATTAAGGCTTGCTTTTCCAGTACTTTGTGAAGACCCTCCTGAGGGGGGTTGGGGATCATTCTGTACCTCTCCTAAAGTCCTTTCCCCCTTATCTTGAAATACCATAAAACTTCTCCTTAACCTGTACCAAAAGAATTCCTTTTGTCTCCCTCATCCTGTCATAAAATCCTTTCTTGTCCTGTCCTCAATCTTTAACCCCCACAAAAGACCCTAAAATTACATCATCATTCTGAAACCTCTATATAAGCCTAACTCCCCCAAATATCAGGGTTTTAATTAGCTTTCTTGCTAAGGCGGCCCGGGTATGCTTTCATGCAATAAAGCTCCCAATGGTTAAAAGAGAAGTCTAAGTGAATTCTTTCACACTCAAATTGCTCTCCGAAATCTGATGTCAACAGTTGGGAGGGTAGATTTTGTGGCTTTGGGAATATATGTCAGCATGGATTAGGAAGAATTCCAATCCATTCTGAGAGCATAATAGCAAGTAGAATCTCACTATCTGGACATCCTGAAAATCCATACCCTTTGTACAGAAGATTACAGGAAGATACAAAGAAAAAAAAACATTTCCCCCCATGGATTCCTCAAATACTACAGAATACAAGCTGTAAATCCTGGATGAACCCCTATAGTATAGAATTCCTCAGGGCTACCTCTCCAATTTGTCTTTGAAGGTTGGACACAGAGTAATTACCTTAAGGTCACGGTATTGCTAAAACTGTAGCTTATGAACCCCCACCAATGGGCTTACCTTTCACTAGTCAACCAGAAGATACAGTTAGCTTAATTTAAAGGCAATTATTGAAATAACACACTAAGAAAAATTGCCGATGGGGCAGGAGGAAGAGAGAGAAATTCCTTTCTCCCTTAACTGCAGAAGGCAGGCACCAAAGAAAAGTCAAAGACTGAATTCTTCCTCCAAAGCTGTCTTTCTTCTCCCCTGAACTCCACAGCAGCATTGCTTCAATTCACCTGGTTATCCCCATCCTGGGGACGTCTCTGTCAAATCTCAGTGTACTTTCCAGAGCCCTTCATATGCAAATTGTCCATTCAATGACTCACCTCTTTAACTGGTGTAAATTTGCCACTAACTTGTTGAAAGCCCTAGAATCTCGGTAATTTCAGCAAGTCAATTGAAAGACTCATTTGATAAGTGACTCCCCTGATCAATACCATTGCTTTACTTATGTAAGTACACATTGTCTCCCAATTAGACATGTTAGAATGTAAGAATGTAAGCTCTTGAGGGCAAAGTCTGTATCATTTTGGCTTTTGTGTATAATACTGCCCTTTTGGTATGTGGACATTTTGCTTTCTGAAGTAGACAGAAAAAGAATATTTGTGTGTGAAACATTGGTAAAATCAATTGGAAAGGAAATGGCCCATCAGAAAAAAGTGCTTGTGGAGAGATACACACTGACGTCAAAGATGACTGCAATGCATTATGTTCAGCAGATAATTTATTACTGAAATATATTTGAAAAAATCTGAAAGTTTATAGCTAGGAAATACTAGGTTTGGAGGCTAACTAGTGGCTGTGGGACACGTATATGAAGACTCCAGGTCATACATGATATTGCTTCTGCATATCACTCAATCGGGGTGGATGTCTATGTGACAGCATTGGAGTCAGTTTAAACTGGGAGGGAATGTGAGAAATAATGAGTTTTTATTTCCTCAAAAATGCATTCTAGGGGCTAGGTGGAAGTTGAACCCAGGAAGCCATAAAGTAGATTTGGTGAGTGAATAGACTAACCAGCGAAAACTGGTTTTGAGGTTAGGTATAGTTTAACATATCCACATCCCAAGCAAAAGGAGTGTGGGTATACCCAAATAAGGGCAAAAGTAAATAAGGACAGGGGTCACTGAATCATGGGAAGTGGGAGATGTAAACAGGGGCAGAAAGTCAGGTGGGGAAATTAGACCCTTCAGATAGGCTGTAACTTCTATAGTACCCAGTCAATGGGGAAACAAGGGAAGGGAATTTGAATCAGGAACAGGGAATAAAAAGGTGTGTATTTGTCAATACGTGTGCTCTCACGTGTGTGCTCTCACACGTGGGACGCCTGGACTTCCCAGGACACTAATAAAACATCTTCCTGGTTCAACAATGGCTTCGAGGAATTCTTGGTAAAGCTAATAATGTGCAGATGGAT